CGGCGAACGGTCAATGAAGCGATACCAGTACTGGCTTCCGTCTGTGTAGATGGACTGCTCCATGCCCAAGTATTCATCGAAGGGGATCGTCAACACAGGGAAGTCCTGGCCAGTGATGCCCCATTCATTCGCGGTAGCTGTTTCTGCCAGGAGAGATTGCACTGTATCATGGTTTCCAGCGTAAAGAGCCGTAGTCCGGGAGTTGCCGATGTACGAAAGGTCCGCTATACTAACATTTCCATAGGTCGGGCGCACAAAGCGAGAACTGACATCGGTCGAGTAGGTCAAACCTAACAAGGCGGTGAATATCTGGACAGCGATGTTGATCAGCAACCAGATCGCGGCAAGAACCTGCGTCTTGTTCGGTAGAAGCCTCCCACGGGTGCGTCCAGCCCAGATCAGGCGGAATACTTGGGTCTGACTATCGCAGTTCAAGAGAAGCTCGAAATCCTGGAGCGTGCGATACCCCGACGCCAGGAAGCGCCAACGCATCATCTGTGCGTAGCCACCTAACGAGGACGCGAGGTTCAGACCCAGGCATAGTGATAATCCGGTCATCAAGGCGTTAAAGATTTCTTTCCGCGCGGTGCTCAAACCAGTTACTACAGTGGAAAAGCCATAGAGACAACTTGCCATCGCTGCGCAAATACCGGCAGTGATGAGCCATTGGACACTGCTGTTCATAAACAGTCGCCGCCGTTGTCGTCGATAGTCGAAATAGCGGACTGTGTTGGAAGGGGCTAAGCCTGAGCCATATTTCTCGGGCAGTCCATGCTCCCACGGTGCTGCTATCGCTGGGACGCTGAAATGAGAGACAGCATAGTCCCGGATAGAAGAGGCAACTCTGTATAACGAGTTGCTTGTTCTCCGACGTCCTGTAACTGTGTCAGCCTTTCCGCAGCAGACAAATCCAAATCCACCTTACTCGGAGGCCGACTTCCGTCCAGAGCGCCATAAGCGATATCATCCGTCGACTTGCTCGAAATGTGTCGATCACCAACTTTGGCCCATTCCTTCTTCGAGTGTCTGTCCGCATCATGGTCGCTGGGCGAGCTTCCCGGCAGAGGGGAAAAGGCAGAATCTGGAATGATGTTGGAAAATTGTAGAGGCTCTTCGGAGATCGGGCTGTCCGTCAGCTGAGAGCCCCCGAAAGGATTGAACTTGGCATATCGTGAGCTTGGCATGTTGGATTTCTGTAGGAGAAGTCGATTAATCTTCCATCCTGCTTAGAACTGGAAAAGTTGTGGGCTGAAGGAATATCTTGATGATGGGGATCGTCAATATCGAGAAAGAGTGAGCTGTACCAAGAATATATTATGGAGAAGACGGATCTAGGGTCGGTTTCACCCGACGAAGTGGGAAACAACAGAGTAGTAGTAAAGAGCAAAGTAAGCAGATGAAGTCGCAAGTTGGGCAAGCTACCTCTCTTGCTCCTTACCTCACTTGTCAAGGCGACGCGGCGAAGACCCAGCTCTTCCATCCATGCCATCCTTCCTTAGGGCGCCTGGGGGAGTCAAGGAGCGTTTCGCTCAATATCCGTGGGCCTGGGTCGAGAAGGATCGCGCCGTGTCTGGGATGGAGTCGTGGTGTGAGTGTTAAGCGTGGATTATTCACCGGCGACCCACCAAGGATTGAGCATTTGGTGCAACAAGAGCCGCCCAGGTTTGCTCCATAGTCTGTTCCATCGAGAAGACACTGGGTTGACTAGTGTGTGTGACAGGAACCCTGAGTGCCTCGTACTCGTAGGGTTTATCGAAGCAATGCCATGAAAAGTCCCGTGCCGTACAGAGACAGTCGTTGATGAGGAAGAAGAGGCAGCATCCTCGGCCAAGGCGAGCGCCTCGAGGCAACGGTTTACTGATCATTTCCCAAAAGTACGAGTGTACCTGACTTGTATGCCGAGTGTCTTGAACGGATGGGTCGCTGATGTGGTTCAACCGAGATCCAGTGGACATGACCTCTCGTTTTCACCCGAAGGATTTGGGGGCTATTATTAGGTGGCAGTACTTGTACCCGGTACTCGGTGCTGTGGACCTGTGTTCTGATTGATCGATCAAAATAGGTAAACACGACGATGGTAGCGATAGGTTGGTTCAGATGAAGTGGCGTAGCGCAGGGAAAATGGCCAGTTTCGGTTTCCAGACCAGGAGGCGAAAGGCGCGGATCCTTCGTGCCAAGCCTTTCGGAGAAATACCACGAGGGAAAAAGCTTGAAATGGGGCCAAATCTCAAGTCCAGCCATCTATACTTTGTATAAGACAAAGCAAGAGTAGGTGTCAGAATACTGTCAATGTGAATGGCATTGGAATATGCCATTGATGCTGCCTTTTGGGATTGATTCTCTAGAGTCAATCACTCGTACCATCGGCTCATGCTATTCCCACGGTGCTGATCGTGATATCAGGTATGCGAGAACGCTTGACCTCGTCATGAATAGACATCATTCAATATGCATCGCGGTTTCGTATGCTGCCCTTGCTGATCTCTCAGACGTTACGGTCAACGTAACTCTGGACCATCCCCTCTATCGTCGGTTCGTACTCCACCAGCTTCACATCTCCGGTTTCCTCATCCAACACGGTGTTCACCTGCACAAATACCTTGCGAGGTGTCTTTTTCTTCAGCACAATCGGTCTCGCTTTCTCGGCCCACCAATCATCTACATTCGTAATGTCGTCGTACATCTTCTTCCCAGCTTCAAAGTCAGCAGTCGCCTTGTATATGTGTAGCTTTTGCAAATAAGCCTCGACCGCTGGACGTCCATGGGATAGGATCTTGCTCCGATCAAGGTGGATTTCGAGGTCGTCGGGATTCTTGATGTCACCATTCCCAGACTTCAGCTCGCAGAAGTTGCCACCAGCATCCATGAATGTGCGGAGGATAGAAAAGCGAGCCTGCATATGCGCTTGGCCCCATTTTCGAGACTTCGGATCCCAGTATTCCAACGCGGCCACTCCGGCACGTGCCATTTGCAGATACGCCACGTACAGAACGTCTCCGGCCTCATTTCCGATATCTTCCTTGCCATTGCCAAATCCAAAGATTTGCAAAATCTCAAAGTCGCAGGAGAGAGCCATCGCAACGCATTCAGCGCGGCACTCTTCGTATGATGAAGCAATCGACCCAAAGACGCTAGACCAGGTCTGACCAGGTTTATAGTATGAGGTGATTGGTTTCTTGGTGACCGGGCTGACTGGTGGGTTCTTAATATCGAAGTTGAACACTCCAGGGGCTGTCTCCTGGAGCAACTTGCCACAACCGTGTCCAAGCAGTTCATGGATGCCCACCTGGACCTCGAAAGCAGGATCGCGATATTTGCGAAAGAGCTCGTCGTCTTGTTTGCGAATAAACGGAATTGGTTCATTGGGAGCTTTAGCACTAAGGACGTTTCCGAGGCTCACATTCTTGAAGCCCTCATTCTGTCTGATGAAGTCGTAGTTCGGGATGTTAATGCCAGCGGGTATGCCACTCCCTGCAAAGCTGAGTACCTCCAATGAAGTAAAGTCTGGGCTCAGAAACTTGTCTTTCTCGAATTCCTTGCTCCACGGTAGCTTGGGAATCATGCTTGGTGCTGCGTCGACAAGTTTGCCAAAAGCGCGTGTTCGTTCTTGATTGACCATGGCAACGAAGCCTTCCCATTCACCGCGGACACCTTGAGGATCTCTATAAGTCTCGACAAACCCGATGTCTGTCTCGACCATGGGTTTCTTGTCTTTGATCCACCAGCGCTGTGATTCCACAAATCCCTGAATGCTGCCAGTTCCAAAGGACCTCGCGTACTCGTCAAGCATCTTTTCTTCGACCTCATTGGCGGCATACTTCCTCGCCTTCTTGATTTCGAGGGTGATCTTGGCCATCTCTTCCTGGTAATCCCCAAAACGAAGATGCAACTTTTTGCCACTGAGTTTTCCTGGCAAGTCAATCGACGAAACATCACCCAGATCGCGCTCTGACGGAGGCGGGTTCGAGATCGCGGAGGCAATGAGCAATTCGAAATCTCCAGATTCCAGCTTCCGCAATCTGGTGTTCTCGATCAGCAGCTTCTTCTCCTCGAGTGCGTCTCCGACGATGGATATCTCCTCCTTGGTTATTGTTGGTGAATCTGGGTAATATGCTGTCATATGGCCTGCCTCTGGATATCCGAGGTGCATCAGAGCCGCATCCTTGGTCTCGTATATACCCCCTCCCGTCTGCGTGGCCTTCTCATAGAGCTTTTTGCAGTCATCGTTCACATTACAGAGCTTCTCGAGATCTTCGGGTGAGAGTCTCGGTATGAACTTGGAGTCTCCGAAGCCTTTGTAGTTGCCCGTATTCCCTAAGAACTGGGCAGCGTACTCAAGCCATAGGGTGATATTGGGGGACGAGACCGAGGTATCGGCGGAGAGTTTCTTGTAGTCACCGTTGCAAGCACGATGCAGGGCAAGGATGAGATCGTAGATGACGGGAGATTCGGGCGACACTTGTGCTAGCGTTACTCGAGTGCCATGGAAAGAAGCACGACTCAGATGATGAGCATATCGCTTGTGTTTGGGTGAAAGAGCAGCGAAGTGAGGGGCGATCTCTAGGCGGACGACGGTTGGAGGATTGTCCGCAAGGTAGTGGGAACGGAGGGATGGATCCATGTTTGCACTGGCAGAAGGGGCACTGTATAGTTGTGAAGTGAGCTGGGAAATCCTACGTACGAGCCTTTGGAGAGGCGACAAGGGGGCTCGCATGTAGAAGATGTTGATACATACCTAGGCACATCTGTTGACTGCGGGACAAGGCTGGAAGTGCGTGATGCTCAATTGAGGACGAGCAAACATACCCACAAGGACAAACATGCCAAGAGTTTGTATAGCGCTAATTTTTGACCTCGGAGAAACTACAGCCTCGCCATGGCTATAAACACCCTTCCTCATCGGCTTTGTCTATCTCGATCCGCTTAGGAGATTGGAAAGGAGACAGACACATATACCTTGAGAATTGCTGGGCGCTAGTGAAGGTGTTGGCATTTCAAACTCAGGCCGTGACAATTCTTTCGGTTCCCATCTCTCCACTATCAACTTGTGCGAGTTCAGACAATTCTGAGCTTGCCCCCTGAATCCCTCTTCTGTGTCGAATACGCTCCCACTTCGCGAACATCTCCTCTGGTTCCTTTAAGTCTTCGTTTGACCTTGCACCGAATATGGCAAAACGTAGAAGCCGCCTTGCCAGGCGGTACGCCGGTTCATATGCAAAGTGGATGTATGTTTGTCCAGCTGCCTTCTCGAAGATCTGCTTCAGCTGCCGATTCTTCAGGTCAGAAGGCTCATCGTTTGCCACGCGCTCGTCTTCGTCGTCAATCATCCTGCCAAGCCCAGATCCAAAGAGGCGGCGTGCAAGCCATAAAGATTGGCGCAAGGAGAGCACTATCCCGAGGAGACTCGACACTGACGTTTTCTTCATGCGCATCAGACCATATCTCATGCAGAACGAGTTCTTTGACCCGATGTTGGAAGGTCGAGAAGGGTTCATGATCGTAGATTAAGGTAGAACCGACGTCTGATTCCGAATCGAAGTCCGACTCGTGTCCGACGACCAGTATTCGTGAAGGGGGAGTGGAAGTGGTGTGGAAGTTACGGTCGATAGCTGGGCTAGGATCCGAAGCCGAATCCGAGGATGAGCTGTCTTTGGGAGTGGCCATGGCTACTCTTTTGGGGAGAATAATGTGGTATGTACCGACCACAGATGGTCACGCACTGAGCCACTCCTTGCAAGGCTCGGTGAGGCTGAACCAACAACAGCCACATCGCTTGTTGTGCAACGAAGAGTGATCAAGAATTACTACTAGATTAAACCAACTTCGATTCTGTTCCCACTTGAGTACATTAGGCTCAGAATGAGGCCACGCATTGCTCTCTTTACTTTTCTCCCCTCATCATCTTGGCCAGATTCTGAAAAAGCGTCCTCCGCTTCTCCACAACATCGTTAAATGTCTCTGCTGATCCCACCGCTCCGATGACAATCTGATCATTTCCTGAAACGAGCCCGTCATAGGCAGCCTGCGTAAACTTGTCGATTGGCATTCCCAACGCCCGTCCTTTGTCAGCGCCCATGTAGTCATGGAGTTCCGCTGCTAGCTGTTAGCGTCTCACTCAAGTAGCGGAAGACAAACACCCACTTTGAACAGGAGGTGGGGATATCTCGATGACCTTGACTGTGGAATTTCGTAATTGATCACGGAGGCAGAGGACAAAGGCAGCAAGGGCCGCTTTCGATGCGGAGTAAGCGGGCATAATGGAGGCAGGGATAATAGCCAGGTTTGAACCGGTGCTAGTGATGTTAATTTGGATGGCCCCTTTGCTTGCTTGACATACTCACAATATCAGGCTCGTCTGGGTTTGCTTGTTCATCAAGAAGGGTAGGAATTTCATGGTGAGATCCACAAATGATGAAAAGTTGGCTTCCACCTCCGAGTGGAAAGCCGCTAGATCGACTTTGTCTGGACGGCTCAAGTCGATTATGCTCTGAACTCCCGCATTTAGGAAGACGCAATCCAAGTCTGGGTAGGTGTCTGTGACATCTCGCACAAAATCATCCATTTTGTCCCGCTCTCGAATGTCGAACCTGATTGCGCCGGCCTTGTCCCTGCCGTGTCTTTCAACGAACGTGTCCAGTCGCTGCTGTCTACGTCCGACAGCAATAACCTTGACACCTTGGTGAATGAGGTGATCTGCCATGGCAGCGCCAATTCCCGCCGTCGCTCCAACAATAAGTGCTCGCTTATATGGAAAGGCCATGGTGGCTTCGATCTGACTTTGTAAAGTTGACCTTGATGGTAAGAAGGGATCGAATTTGGGGTTCATGGAAATTCCAATATCCTTACCCTGGGCTCATCAAGTATATATAGGTCAAGGGGGTTGCTTTGACCGAAAAGAATTCTCGGGGATGGCATCCGCTAGGCGAAGTGCCTCCAGTAGAAACCTACCAAGCATTGGAATTAGAAGGCGGGTGAGCAGCAACAAGACGGGGATAAAGCACTGCAGGATCTAACTTCAACACATTCAAAGGCGTCGTATTATTATTCCTAAGGTAAGGAGATTGGGAGAATGGCAGAATGGCAGAATGGCTAGAACACAATCTTGAGCCCGTAGATGACGTCGACGGAACACCTGCCGTTTGTGGAATAGCCTGGTGTCGGAGATACACTTTGGCCGAGAGTCCGACGATCTCCGATTGGCTCTTTGCCACGAGCAGGTCGCATCATTCCCAGAGTCAGTCTCATGTGCACCTCTCTGGCCAGCGTTGAGGGTTGCTCGGGTCTTGAGTCGTGTTGTTAGGACGATGGAGAAAAAAGTTTGGTCGCAGTCGACACCGAATCTCTTTCCATGTTCATCTCCCAAGTCCGATGATCATGGTGTTTAACGGCAAGCCATCTCGAGCCTGTCTTCATTGCAGACGGCGGAAACTTCGCGTGAGAGCCCCTGTGTGTGGCTGGACTGAGAGCTTCTAGCTGACTCGCTGGCAGTGCGATCTCCACAAGGACGCCTGTGGCCAGTGCGTGAGGGCTGGTTTGAGTTGTTCGGGCTACCGCGACCCCGATCAATTGAGGATCAGGGATGAGAGCCAGTCAGTCATACGTAAAGCTCGAGGCATGTCTTCAACCCCAATAGCAACGAGTATCGACACCCCACTTGTCGATAGAGCAAGGGCGGCCTTCTTCTCCCATTACGTCCTCGGGTTCGCCAAAACTTACGATGTTCTGGATCGGATGGGCCGACAAGCCCCGTTAGACAGCCACCTGGCGGCCAGTGTTGATGCTGTGAGCTTGGCCTTTTTCACTTTTCAATACGACGCTGCCAGTGCATACAAGCCTGCGCGAGAGACTTACTTGTCTGCCCTTCCGCTGGTCAAAAGTGCTGTGGCTACGACAGAATTCCTTGCATCCGACTCGACCTTGTTGGCAGTCCTCCTGCTGGACCTGTTCGAAAAGATAACCAACCGCAGCCCCATCTCATCTGATGCCTGGATGAGTCACGTCAAGGGTGCTCTAGCCCTTGTCAAGTTGCGTCGTATACAACAACTGCAAACATATATCGGTCTTCGCCTATCAGTCCGCCTGTTCACCAACATGCTGATAAGCTGTGTGGCGGGCGACTCCCCAATTCCACCTGCGTTGGTCAAGCTGCGTTCGGATATACAGCCTCATGTCGACGCCAAAGATCCCAAATGGCGGGTCTCTGGACTGGTTATGAAGTACGCTAACTTCCGAGGCGAAGTTAAGGAGGGAGTCCTTGCACCATCCGACATCATCACACAAGCAAAGAAGTTGGACAGCGAGTTTGGGGCACTTGCTCGAGACATGCCTCCGTCTTGGGTTTCTCACAGGGTTTCTATCCCAACAGGCTCTCTTAGTGTTCTGGAACGATACTACGACGTCTACCCTGACTATTTTACAGCACAGACTTGCAACGTTATCCGCATCATGCGAATTCTACTCAACAACCTCATTCGAACGACATATATGAATATCATCTCGGACAGTACTGATAATCCACCGCACGAACTGAATATCGCCTTTGCTTCTCACATCATTGACACCATGGCAAGGGAGATTTGCGCCGCCGGCCCACAATTCTCGCAAAGGCCAACTCATTCTTCGCCTTTCCGAAAGCTACACGCCTACACGCTTCTGTTTCCGTTCTACGTGGCCGCCATATTTGCAAGCCCCGAGACGAACGTTCGAGATTGGGTGATTCAGCAATTGAAGTGCCTGTCCCGCGACTTTGGGCTGAGAAATGCCAGCGTCGTAGCAGAGGTGCTGGAGAAGAGACAAAATACAAGTCCGTGGTCGATGTATGCAATCCTTGGGAGTTATGCGTTCGCAGCATAGCAAGCCGCCCCTGTCCTAGTCTACGTTTTCCCGGCCTTGAGATGTGGGGCTATCAACGGGCCTTTAGCAGTAAACTCGGTATTCTGCCGAAAACCTTGTTTCTTTCGAAGATCTGGCACGCCTGGCATACCAACCCGCTTGCTCAACCAAAAACTTCCGCACCAATTACTCGAACGCTAGGCTCTCATTATATATACTTTTATAGTCCCTCACTCCCCCAAAAATCAAGGCGTCTATCCAAATTCTTTTCGAGAAGCAAAAACAATCGACAGTCAGGATTCCCACCTGGTCACCCACGGTAGTACTAACTGGACCGGCATGAGGCTTGAGTACGGCTGAGCGAACGGGAAGCCCTATTTTCCTCATCCTGTGGTCGATTGCGGAAGGAAAGGTGCTTTTGCGGTATATAACCCTTGATAGTTCCTGGCGCAATGGTACGTGAGCAGGGTGGGAAGCCTTGGAGCGTTTCTCGACACGGGGTTATCAAGTCCCGACCTAAGCTTGTGCTTATGGGGTAAAATCTGTGTAGTACATGTATTTCCTGCAAACTAGGAGTTTCCTCCTTTGATATTCTCTCTCTCCTCCCAGTCCTCTGCTTTGGTTGTGATAGTTTGACCAAAGTCGATAATTGTCCTCGCTCCCTCCTCGCTCCTCACAGATTTGACATATCGTAATTCTTTTGGCTGTTTCGCTGGTGACTTCTCCTCTGGTTTGTCATGAGATTTGCAGAAGGTTCACTGTCATTCTCGCCAGGGTCCTGTTGTCTCGGGAAAAAGTGGATTTGAGGGTGGTGTCGCCGCAGCCGCGACAGTGGAAGGCTTGTGGGTCTTACGAAATTCTTCCCTGGATGTGGTGAGAAATGTACTGCGACCGACGATAAGGGTGAAACTAAGAATACTGCAAAGCAGGAATTCAACCGCGACGGCAGACGATAGCGCTTTTGTGCGCCGAAAACAAGAAAAGAGACTTCATCCATTCTAAAGTGCTCGGTGAGGGTATCGTATCGGACGGTTGATGATGGGGCAAGATTTCTCTTCCACCGCTTGCTCAAACTCGTACACATTTGGCTTCACGTTCTGGTTCAGGAGATCGACAATTCCATGATGTCTTTCTCCTCAACTGCGCGTCCCGTGGCACTAGGAGTCATTGTTATGTCACTGCAAGTATTAAGTACCAAATGTGGGACAGAACAGGACACGTTGGACGTGTAACGGGGCAGTATCGTGCTTGGTCAGGTAAACACAGAGAAAGACGTTTCAGTAGCCTCTGAGAGCTTGCTCCTTGCAGTATTCAAGAATTCCTCGGCGGTCGTAAATCCTTGATTCCAGCACCTGGTGATTTCGATCCCTAACGATAGCCCCCCGGTAGTTGGAAAGATGCGTTGTGCGTATCTTGCTTCTATTGTATGATCATCGATACCCGCAAAGGGCATTTGACCAGCCATGAGCTCATAAAGTGAAGAGCCCAGTGCGAACAGATCCGTCTGTACTGAACTGTCGACATCATCTGGACGTGGTAGCCAGTGGCTCGAACATTCGAGGCCCTGCGCTGCCCTCCCTGTGAGACCGAGAGCAGGTTGAGCATCGAATCCTGAGCCATTAAAGTCACACAGTCGGACGTTCCCTTGATCTAGAAGCCACTGGTCCAACCGGGGGTCTGCGTGTCGAACACCTTTTGAGTGGATGTAGAAGACGCTTTCGATCATTTGAATAGCCCAGCGTTTCTTATCGACTTCTGTCGTGCTCGAATAGTTCTTTTCAAAGTAGTCCTTCAAGTTGCCGTTGGGATAGAACTCAAGTTCGACCCGACCCTGTGACGGGCACCACGATAGACACCGTGCAATTCGAGGGTGCTATCCTAAGATTTGGTACATGAGAGCTTCAGTCTGGCATGCTTCTAGATTTTGTTGCGTGATCGCTGGATCATCTAGGAGTACGTGACAGATTTTTGCAACCTTGTTTCCAATTCGATATGTCTCTGAGCTCATACCAATCATGAGCAGCTTGATGTCGTCCACCATTGGTGCATGTCTAACAAAGCCATCGGACTGTGGAATGCTTCATTTAGCAGAGTAGATGCAGGCAAGGAAGGATCCGATGCTGCAATTCGGGTCGGTGAGGTGGAACGACAGAGAGGAGTTTGCATTGATGAGAGGGTATTACTCAAAACATAGATTCGTGGCAATAAGCGTAGACTAGCCACCCATGGCTTAGATAAGTAGCGGTATAAAGTACGGTCTCTCTCTTGAAAGCTCTTGAGGTTTTAAGACTCTATTTTCCTATACCTCAGGGACGCGATCGCCGTTTTATAGATTGTCGGAGTAAAGACTCTAGCTGGAAAATAGAGTTAGCTGGCGGGGTTTCTAAGTAAATATCTAGGGAAAATCTTCTTGTAATTGGGCTGGCCAAGACTTTACTCGGCATTTTTTAGCAATAGTAGGAATAGCGTGATATGTGCCAAGACTGCGGCCGAAATTAAAGTCATGCGGCCCAAGAGCAATCTGTCAGAAGTCAATCATGCTGCCAGCTGAATGCGATACCCTTCCCTCGAGAACGACAATGGCAAGGAAGAGATCCTTGGAACCTCCGCCCTACGACGAAAAGTCAGATGCCGCCAAGTTGAATGAGCGCCTGTTCAAGAAACTGAGAAAAGCTGTCGATTCCAATCCGGAGGTCGACCTGCTCTCACTGTTTCCCAAAGAATATTCAGAAAGACTTGCAAGACTAGCAAGATCTCCCAAAAAGAAGAGGACCATTACGAGTGATAATGGTAGGTAAACATGTGTCACTCTCATAGCTTGTTACCTCTTCTGACATTCTGTGACTTGTTAGGCGTCACGTCTCCCGAGAGTGTTTTGCCTAAACAAGACGACCAGAGGATTTCCAGATTTCAAGATGATATCCGCTACCTTCTCTCCTCTGACGATGTTCAGATTATGGATCAACCATCATGCTCAGTTCAAGAATTAATCAAGAGCAAAATGGACACGAACAATGCCTCTTCCACTATTGAAACAGATCCACAATTCCCCATGGCTCTGATCAGGCTCATTCAAGAAGGAGAAGTTATCAACACAGGCCCTCTTCCGTCCAGAAGAATGGTAGTGAAGTGTGGTGTTGACACAGTCGCAAAGCTGGTATGGGGGGCTGAAGAATTCACCGAGTATACCACACTTCAATACTTGCTAGAACACAAACCTAGCATTCCGGCACCCAGACCACGTGGTCTTCTTCGTATGGGTCGCGTAACAATATTCTTCTCTTCCTTCTTGTCAGGACCGACCCTCGAAGCAGTATGGGCAGATTTGGGTGCAGATCAGAAAACATCTGTTCGAGACCAACTGGATATCATTTTCCGCGATCTCAGGACAATGGAGTTCCCAAATGGTATGTCGTTGGGCGGCGTGGCGGGCGAGGGCTGCAAAGACCAAAGGAGACATCTACGCCGCTGCACAACCCCCGTTTTTGATGTCAAAGACTTTGAGACTTTCCAATTTTCTAATCCCAACTATGGAAGCAAGATATTTATCGACTTCCTCCGCACATTCACTCCTCAGAGCTCACGTCAAATTGTCTTCACTCATGGAGACCTGCGGCCAGCAAATATTATTGTTGACATCACTGAAGATAAAAGATGTATCGTTACTGGTGTCATTGATTGGGAAGACAGTGGATTCTATCCAGAGTACTACGAAGCCACCAAAGTCACGAAATGTTTGGCAACCAATGAAGACCAGGATTGGTTTCAGTTCCTTCCGCCTTGCATCTCACCTCACACTTATCCTGTAGAATGGCTACTGGATTACGTCTGGGGCCGGCATCTGGAATAAGCATAATATTACACGATTACAAGATAGTTCCCCGTTTCTTCTTCAGCTCCTTCTTCGCATCTTTGTAAGTCTGTTCGTCTTGGTCCACGACAAATTCACTCTCCAAAGTTTCAAGCACATCCAGCACATATTCCTGGCAATCCCATTCCAGAGTTTCATTGTCGATTTTTGTGGTCCGTGCAACCTCCTGCACTGTGTCAATATCACCCGAACTAACTTCGCCCATCAAAATCATTGTGATGAAGCTCACAGAGCTCCTTGGATTTGCCTTCACCACGTTACGTTTGAAATCTGGGCGATCACCTATGACTTCGAAAATGAGGGCTTGGGTATCTGTTTCCAAGCTCAAGGCCCAATGCTCATAATTCCCATATCGGGGTCGATAGAACGCGACATAGAGCTTAGCGTTTGCCATTGACGGTCTGAGACTTTCCCTTTACATTAGTACTCGCGGAAGCGGTGCAAGGAGTATGACTCGTACGGGAGGAAACTTCTTTCCACTTTTGAGACCAGTTTTTCGATAACAAGGAGCCGCAACTCGGAACTTCGATACCTCTTGACACGTGCACAGATTCCAAAGGATAAAACAAGGCCTTTAGATAGCTCCCTCTTGGGTATCATTTATATCACGACAAGAGCTTGTCAACCTAGCTTCTCGCCAGTCACCTCCATCAGGCCGGATGCTGATGCGTGGCTCGTGTCTATTAGTCCGAGCTTCTCCAGGCAGCTGCCTGATTTCATGTTTATTGTGTAACCTCCTACGACACAAGCTCCGTCGGCCGTCGTGTCACCATCATGAAGGACTCGGCTTCAAATTGCGACCTATCCTTGAGCTTGAGAAGAGCCAATCAGGCGTTTCCAAAGGCGACGAAATTCTCGTATGAAAATCAGGGTCTAGACATGGACATGCTCACCTGAAAGATCGCTCTTGCAATTGTTATGCCGGAGGTTTGCCGTGGAAGGGCAATGTAGTTCTTCGAAAGCCTCCTCCACCGTTGCAAGTTTCGTATTTTGGGCATCTTTCGCTTCTGAAAAAGTGAGGACAGGACAGATGGCGTCGGTGAGGATAATTCAATATCGGTTTTTGACGAGAGAGATGTGTGAGCTCAAAACGATAATCGAGCAGACCCGGCAGCTCAACTTCGCGGCCTTTCAAAGGGTACTTGTGACTTTACAATATTGCAACACGAATATATGTTCAGCCAGTCATGATCCAGAACATCCTGAAGAACAGCGATTGGCTAGGATTCCACCAAAACGCAGCTCACATCGTCAAATGCCAACCAACATACATACTACTTACTGGACCACCTTTTCCACGTATCCGCTAGACTAATCTATAACTAGACTGGCGTTTACTTTAATAGGCATAGAGAATATTTAGTCGGGAGTACCTAGTCGGAACTCAAAACTATAGTGGGGGTGGGACTGGGACTGGGAATGCGAGTAGTTACACGGGCTGACGGGTCAGTTGGCACCACTGGTGATTGGTTTCTGATGGTGCCCGTTCCACGCAGCTCTTAAACCCTCGAGTCTCAGTCACCGCGACTGAGAGCGAGTGGTATTTTGAGCCGCAAAAATTGATGGAAAGTTGCTCGAGGATTACTACTGGTGGGTGCTGGGGCGGGCCACCTCCTCTTTTCACTTCAACAACAGTGATCACTATCGACATCACTTGAGAATAGGTCCATCGTAACATCTTCTGCTCCTCGTCCATCCTCTCCAAACTTCCAGATGGGTCAACGATGCAAATGGGCAAGTTTCTTCGCCAAAGGCGAAAATCTGTCCTCGTAGGCTGCGCCCTGGATCAACACGTAGCCTTCGTCTACCGCTTTTAATGCCACAGCCACAGCCTTTCACAGGCGTGACAATGTTTGGGCCAGATTCCTGGTTGGAGTCCGTATACAACGTCCAGCACGGGTCTAAAGCCACAACGAAGTGGATTAGATTCTGGAACATGAAGTTAAGTGTAGTGGGGAGGGAAGAGAGGGGGGGAGCAATCGCGGGGTCGAGCAGTCATATTGTGGCTGCCTCCTGAAGTCCCCTGTTTCTTTCCCCGCGCTCCGGGGAGGAGGGGATCTGGGTGTGTTGTCGTCGTCGCAGCCAAATTCCGTGCGCCCATCAGTGATCGCTATCGAATGTCCTCTTAGCAATGGATGACCAGGCCTCCCTTGACCGTGCTGCCGTTTGTAAACTGCTCGAGCGTCTATCAGCAACTGTGGACCAAGAAGAACAGGAGTACCATCCGTGGCGGCGGCAGTCCCGAACCTTTGATCAAACATTGCTCAGGTTTTGGGACCATAACTCAGGAAGCCAACTGGATGAAGACGGCTGTATGAGGGCAAGAGCGACGCGTGAACGGCTTGACACGTTAGAATCTCGGAAGGAATCATTAACCATTCACATTAACCATCGAGACTGGAGACCAACACCCTACATCTCATTCAACAACCTCACCTTCCAAAGTTGAAAACCTCTCCCACTTGTGGTTCCGACGGCGTCGAGGACCCTTCACTCTAACCGTCGTCGATCCCGATAATCGAATTCGAAACGGCCTACTCGTCCTACATGTCAGTGATGAGATGAAATATTATCATGTCCCTGACCCCTATAAACAAACCAACGAATACTACAAAGATCACTACATTTGCCTGTGGGAGGTCACAAAGAAGGAGATAGTGGGCCACTGGCGATGGGAAGTCCTTGTTGAAAACGCGAATTGGTATGAGGAGATCGTCATTCCCGCTTTTCGGCGCAAGCGGAAAGCAGTGGAATCTGAACACTTGTCAAACCTCTTTACCAGGCTTTCTCGTAAGTCTAAGCTGTGAGCCAAGATAATGTACCAGAGTCGACTAAAAGTTTCAAGTCAACCGACACGTGTAACCTAACTCGAGCAGTTTCCCTGATGGCCGTTCAGATTCACTCAGCGAACTGTTCTGCTTATTCGACGATGAGGTCGATGGTTTCGATGAGCTATATGATTGTTTTCAGGACGGTTCAGACACAGACGATGAAGTCGAGGAGGCCGACGCCACCGATGATATGTTCAAGATTATGGAAGGAGATTGGTGAAGAGACTTGGTGACGGATGTATTGCTTCTCTCCCTTTTCTCTGAAAGCTTCTCTTTGCAGGAAGTGAGCTGCAAAGCCTACGAGCCCCCGAACTCGTTGGATCAGAAAACGTGTTATCAATGAGCCTGATGTTGCGCAATCTGTGCCCGGGTTGTGATGTTTTGAAGATTGTCATAATTATATGTCTTTTTGGCGTATCAACACATAAACACTTGTCAGTGTAATACAACGCTTCCTGTCACAGACTCCGACGCGGTCCAACGACCTGTTTGACTACACGTCAGGATGATGGATGCACGCTACCTGTTACTATTTGCCATGTATCAACCGCTGATAGGTCAGGTACAACGAGTCACCAACGTTGCCTCCGACATCGGAATTTCCTGACTTCAGCTCGAAAAAGAGTGAGTCTGTGCGCGTACATATGTCCCAGGCACAGCGTTTCAACAAGTCAACCAATCTTTCGAAAAACCCTGCTTTTATCACGCCAATCACCTGTTATTGTTCTCCACTATAAGTTTTCTTTCTTACCGATCGGAGATTTAACTGATCCAATCGATGCGCCGGATCCAGAAAGTATGTACTCGCAGGGTATCCGTTCCTGGACTCGCGCTGTCCGCGGAACCCGCGCTGCCTACAGTAGGTCGGCCGTGGCTGGCTTTCGGCCGATGGCGTCTCGGGTCCGAACGCAGTCGGTCTTCGACGCACGCCCATATAATGAACCGTTGTCATTGGGAATGTTGGGGGAGGAGTGCAGACAGGCAGACATCTGAAAAACAAGAAACCTTTGATACTTACAAGTAACCTGTGTTGCTACACAAGAGAGAGGAATAACAAGACACTCAAGGCCACTCACTCACTACCTCTGAAGCATACGATCCAATGACCACATATTGATGAGCGGCGTATACAGTTCCTCCAGTCCCCGACAGAATACACAGGCCCATACACAACAGCCGGAAAAAGTCACCACCACCAACCATGATGGCGCCCCTAAAAGTCCTCATCATCGGCGGCGGTATTTCAGGGCCAGCCCTCGCCTTCTGGCTTGCACGCATCGGCGCCAACATCACCCTCATCGAGCGATCGCCCCGGATGCGCGCGTCGGGACAACAGGTCGACATCCGCGCGCAAGGAGTGGCCATGATGCGGAAGATGGGCATCGAGGCCGCCGTACGCGAGGCCTGCGTGCATGAACCGGGTGCGCAGTTTATAGACGTCAAAGGCCGGACACAGGCCTTCCTCCCAGCGACGCAGAACGGGGCCGGGAAGCAGAGTTTCACGTCCGAGTTTGAGATCATGCGCGGCGACCTGGTGCGGATCCTGTACCGGCTCACAGAGGGTCGCCCCAATGTGCAGCACTTGTACAACACGACCGTCGACAGCTTCACACAGGATGAAGAGAGCGATCCCAACGGCAAGGTCCACGTGCGGTTCCACGACGGGCGCACCGAGGACTTTGATCTGGTCGTGGGCGCCGACGGGGCTGGGTCGAAGACACGAAAGGCGATGCTCGGCCCAGACGCTCCGGATCCACGACACCCCCTCGGCGGGTACATTGGATATTTCAGCATCCGCTCGACACCGGCAGATTCCGACCGGGCGACGTTCTGTCCGTTGCCGGGTCCTCGCGTGGCCCGCATCATCGGCACGCGCAAGGACTGTCCAGAACTCACCCGCGTGTACATGATCCTACTCGGCCCGGACGCCGCCATCGATGCGGCGTACAAGACGGGAGATCTGGCCGAGTTAAAGAAGGCTTGGTCCGATCTATACCAGGGTGGCGGATGGGAGTGCGATCGTTTCATGGAGGCGTTGCGAAACCAACCCGAGGCGGACGATCTGTACTGCACGCCGTTCGAGGAGGTGCGACTGCCCGAGGGGTCCTGGTCGAAGGGACGAGTGGTGCTGGTCGGCGACGCCGCACACTGTCAAACAGCCGGGGGTCTGGGTTCGACATGGGGTATGATCGGGCCATATATCCTGGCGGGAGAGATTGCGACGCTGTCTGCTGAGAAGAGTAGTTCCTTGTCGTCGGCATCCGCAGCGGAAGAACCGGCACCAGCAAAAGCAGCACCAGCGACAGCGCCAACGACAGCAATAGCGAGCGTGGTGATCCAAGCAGCCAAGAACTACGAGACCAAATTCCGCCCCGCAGCGACGGCGATGCACGGCGGCTCCGAGAGAATCGGCCTCCTCAGCTTCCCCCGATCGAAATTGGGGATTTGGATACTGCTTCTCCTCGCCAAAGTCGCCGCGTACTTTCGGCTGGACCAGAAGTTGGGGTTGTTCAGCGACACGCACCAGTGGCAGTTGCCCGAATATCCTGCCTTGGAGAGAGCGGAGAGAACAGGAGAGAGTTTTGAGAGCCCGGTGGGTGAGCGAGCGAACGAGCGAGGGAGATTGTAAGCAAGGCGTTCAATCAGCCAGCCAGTCAGTCAGGCGAGAAAAGCTGTGGCGTGTACGGAGCCATGTACTGGGTACGGGGAACTGGGCACTGTACTTATTAGATTACCGATCGAATCGATCTCTCCTTTTGCGTTTTTATATACCCACTCATCTCTAACATGGAACAAGTCCACTTCGGGAGCCTGTATTTCATGGTTTAATTAGGCGGATAGCCAGTGTCCCAGATCTCGATTCTGTCGTTTCTCGTTTGTTGTTGTTGGTGGTGGTAACCTTGCACCATAATATAAATCATATGAACATATGGTAACTCTGCCCCTGTTCAAACGTTGTGTCGTCGATCTTCCCTCGTGCAAGACATTCTTTAACCAAGAACCCCATTAACCATACGGCTGCAGGTCCGGACCAGGTACATGCCTAATACAGTAGCACCTACCTGGGCAGGCAAGTAGGGCTAGCATATGGGGCTAGGATGGAAATGGCTAGTGGGATTTGTTCGTGCTTGAAACGTGGTGGCGAAACAGTATCTGTGACATGTAACGCGCCTCCCTCCTGGCTGGCGGCGAGGCGGGCACCACCACAATTAGCCCCTGAGCCTGAGGCCCCAAGGCCCTGAAGGAGGTACCTACTCGGCGAGTCTTCTTGTCTATACCTGTCCAGGTAATTATACCGAGTCCCTAACTACCTACCCCATACTCCGTACCTAGGTACCCACCTACCTTCGTAAAAGAACTCGGTAGGTATCGTACCAATTCCTCCCTAGTCCCTACACACTCTGTCTCGTCAAACGCCAGATCGTTACACAATACACGGTATGTCCATCCCCCTTCCCCCCATTGAGATTTCGTCCGGGATTGTGTGCGCAACGATAGCGGCGTGCGGCGTGCACCCAGTGGAGATGGCTTGGTACTCGGGAGTCTTTCCAAGATTGCGCGGTCCGTAAGTCGTACTCGGTAAATACAGTACCTAGGCAGCTAGGCTAGGCACCCTGGCACCTACACAGGCGTGATATGCTAGGTCAGGTCAGGCCAGGTGCTCGGTACTCCCAAGCGGGAAAATATACCTTTCGAGTATATATAATATGAAGAGGACGATGTGCATGCGAGGGTGGTCTTTTTCTTGTTTGACAAGCGTGTTCATTCGTTTTCTTTCAATTCATTTTCGAGCCGGTCTCTCGTCACACATCGTTCGTTCGTCCATTCTTTGCAGCACCTGTTGATCGGGTTTCCATTCCATTCGTTTCATTGGCCATCGGGTGCAGATATTCTTGTTGATTGGTGAATCAATCGTATACGACACTCCCAACTTTGTATAGCAGCGCCATGAGATCCATTCTTTACACCTTGTTCCTCGGCGGCGCGTCGTTCAGTGCCGCGCTTCCTGTCGCCGAGAAACGCACTGTGACTTCGCTGGACCAAGCGTCCTTCGAGGAAGCCCAACAGCGCGACGACACGGCCACGAGAGCCTTCTCGGGGGTTCCGATCAAGGTATGTTCGCAACAACATCTGGACAGTCGCCTGCGAACGACCTTTTCATGTTGACTGGCTGACCCAAACTGGCCATAGACTTCAGACGGCCAGTGCCTCTTTGTCGACGAGCTGTCCGGCGATTTCCGCGCCAACTTGACCCCGATCCAAGTCGCTGCTTGCGACGGTAGCACTGGACAGCAATGGGATGTCATCACCGCTGGAAAACATGACGACCAGCCCGGGACGATGCTGATTGTTAGCACTCTGGCAAGTCGAGCCTCGTTTTCACCTGCAAACCTTGGGCTGACTCTTTGAACCCTTACAGACGCAGGCTTGCTTCAACTTCGACCCTCGTCGTGCCGCTGGAAACCAGGTTCTTTTGTTCTCCTGCGGTGGTCGTGCCGATGGCAGTAAGTCTTGGAACTCCAAGCACACCGTTGCTGTGAACCTCGATTGACCATGTGTTAGGTGGCCAGGTGACAAACTCGCAGCTGTTCCCCTTCAGCGGCGGTGCTGGTCCGCTTGCCTTGACCCCCGAAAATGCACCTGGAAGCTGCTTAGCCGTTAGCGGAGCTGTTGTCGACATCGCAGCCTGCAACACGGCCGATCCTAATCAATCTTTCACTTTTGGCGAGGTTGACGCTGCCGCCCCCACCGATGTGGCTGCGACATCGTCGACGACACCTGCGAGCGAGTGTGGAGCGACGCCACCTCCACCAGCATCTACCACCCCTGCGTCTACCGTCCCTGTGTCTGCCATATCAAGCACAGCAGCGCTCGTCGTCTCGACTACATCGCCACCTACCGTCGCCGAGAGCGCGACCTCGACGGCTTCCGCCTCTATAATCTCCGTGTCTCGTGCCGGCGGCGTCCTCGACCCCTCCGCAGTCGCAGAGGCGAACCCGCGCGACAACACGGCCACGCGAGCCTTCTCATCCGTCTCGCTCAAATCGTCGTCGGGGCTCTGCCTCTTCATCGATCCCACGGCAGGCGACTTCCGCGAGAACCTGATCGCGATCGTGCTGCAGCCGTGTGACGGTAGCCCCAACCAGAGCTTCGACATCATCACCGCGGGCGTGCACAATGACCAGCCGAACTCGGCCTTGATCGTCAGCACCCTGACGCAGGGATGTTTGAACTTCGACCCCCGCAGAGCTGCCGGGGACACGGTGATCATGTTCAGTTGTGGCGGACGCGCGGATGGCGGTGGCCAAGTCACCAACAGCCAGCTCTTCACCTTTACAGCGGGCGAGACCAGCCTGAGACTCCAACCGGAGAATGGCGCCGGGTCGGTGTGTCTGGCGGCGGACGCGACAGGCAGACTTGACCAGGTGACTTGCAGCGACGATCCCAGCCAGGTCTTTACCATCGCCTGAAGGAGGACGTGAAGTCTATGGAGTTCTGTCGACACTTGTATATTTTCGGTTCTTGTACTTTGTAAACCTGTGTAACGATATCGGCGATATAAGAGAATCTTGTAAGAACATTTCTATCTGGTGCCGGTATCCCCCAATGAGCCTCAAGCGTCCTGTCTGCCTGGCACTCGGACCCGGACATCTTGCGTCCTCGAAACGGAGAGAAACCCTAAATTCAATCTCCGTTAACCGCACTATTCTGAGGGAACAACAGCTTGTAGGGGGAGGGGAAGCAAGACCGTTAACTACACCTTGTTCAAAGGCGGTCAGTCAGTCAACTGGATTTCAGAAAGGCCAAGTCAGCGGTCAAGATTCGATATCAGTGCAGAGAGAGAGGCAAAGAAAAGTATCGCAGGAGAATACCTCAGATAATCAATCTAGTGGAGGGGTGAGGTGAGGAAGGTAGATGACGCCCTCGCCGCCTCTTGACTCCATGGCATCCCACAGCACCAACAGAGCGCGGTGGTCGTCGCCCTGCAAGAAGCGAACCGCGTTCTCGTCTTGGTCGTCGAACAAGATGCCATATTTATCATCGAGGATGTGGTGGGGCAGGACCTGTTTCCGACGCGCCCAATCCCTTTCAGTGGTGATATGATGCTGCGAGGCCTGGTGTTCCAGTGCAACATGGGCTGATTTGATGTCGTCGGACTTTTCGCCGTGTGCGTCCATGTCAAGCAAACGACTGTTGGGGTATGTATGTCGCAGTGACAGGGACCGGAGGTTCGTGGCGCCTGTATTGAGGCGCGTGAAGAATTCGGCCCATGTCGGCGGATCGGCCACTTCGGACGATGTATTGGGGCCGCTGGCACCACAGCCGAGCAGCGTCAAATGCTCCAGATTCGGACTTTGCAAGGTCACGAATGCCATCAGCGGATCGTCGATGAAGAAGTGGTCGAGCGTGAGCTTTCGAAGGCGATGGAACCGAAGACCATGAGAGAGCTGGGGAAAATCTGCTCGAAGAAGGGGGTCAGCCAGCTTGATGCAAACGATAATGTTTTGACAGAGTGATTTATTTTTACAGACCGAGATGGCCACATCCCGGAGCCAGACCGATAGGGCAAGAATAATTGGCCTGAAGCTCGAGTGTGTCGACGTTTGTCAAGTGCTGGATAAAAGTTGGCCCCAGGCTTCTGGTGAAGCTCTCCATGTCCATGACCTTGTTCTGCTCCCAGCCTGCTCCATTGTTCCAATGAGCCAGTGAGATCTGGCAGTCTGTCACACAATTAAGGAGACCCTTCAGACCATGGCTCTCTTTGGGGGTGCACTCTGTACTCCCTTTGGGAAGATTGACCAGTCTTAGTGTGAAACTAGACTTGGCTGCGAGGTTGTTCTGGCATATTCCGCGTAGAATAACAAGGATCATGCGCCCAAAATCCCCCGTAGCACTGAATTCCATGCAGCTGTCCACCATGTCGATCCAGTGCCAGGGGAAATCAAGGGTGAGCGCCTCCAAGTTGGGCGGCAGGTTCGACAAGAGCGCAGAGAGACGGGACAGCGGAAATTCGGGCCAGTGTGACAAGACGTCGTCCTCTTCGTATTCAATATCACGAGACCGTTCCGTGTACGCGTCTCTGGCGCCTTGACTCAGTGTCGCAAGGGTATTGCATACGAGCAAATTCTTTACATGTCGCCATCGTGGTGTTCGAGAGAGAGCTTCTATTGATTCGATCGACTTCAGATGAGTTCGAAGCACGACATGGCGAAGAATGCGAGCTTCAAAATGCCGTCGATAGAAGCGGCAAGTCGAGCTCCAATGCAAAAGGGCGTAGGCGCCAGGGTGGTCCTTATTGTTGCGATCAGTGCCATAGTACTTTGCATGCTGGTCGTCGAAATTATTCTCGCCCGTCGGAATACCATTGATGCGCTCTTGTCGGTATGCAGGAGGAAATAAAATATCTGGTAGGTCCAATGACTTTACGATCATCTGATGGACATCCACCGGAAGATTCATCAGCCGACATTGCGGCTGCGCATCGGCCATGTCGGTATGACGGAATCGAGGAGCGAATCTGAAAAGACAAAGACCGGCGTTTTTTGTATATCATGGTAATCACCGAAGAGAGGAAATGGAGTCGAGGTGGGAAGGCGGAAGCCTGCCTCGTGTCAAACACTGAAACACCACCGAGTATATGACTAGAGATGACTCGAATATGCATGAGATGCTCCAGTAATTACCTCTTGCGGTGTAAGGCGGTGCGGTCCGGGTGCCTAGTGCCTTGGTAAAGCCTTAGTGCCTCGTAGTTTCTAGGTAGTAAGTGGGGGCCAAAAGCCACGAGGCTGAGCATCTGGCATCTAAGAGTCAGGATCAGGATCAGGATGAGATGGGGGCGGTGTACCGGAAACCACCTAACCTGGACTCACACTCACTCGAACTCCTTTCTTGTCAATCTCATGCTCAGTCAGGTCGGAACTGTACTCGGTAATAGTTGTTGGCAAGGCTATCCCCTATACACACACTCACGCACTGTGTAACCGACATAACCGCCAACCCATCGTCCAGGGTAGCAGTCAGCATTATTCGTCGGGACCAAGGTCGACCCATTCCCCTCTGGCTCTGATCATTAAAACCCGTTGAAACAAAAAATGCTCGCCCTCGACGGATCCACCCTCGAAGGCGGCGGCCAACTCGTCCGTGTGGCTCTCTCCATCGCAGCCATCTGCGCCATTCCGGTGCACATCTACAACATCCGCGCCGGACGGGGAGGGGGAGGGAACTGGCACCACAAGCGTGCGCACAACAACGGTCGAAGAAGCCATCATCAGGGAAATGCTAACCACGGCGGCGACGATGGAGGGGATCGAGGAAGTACCTCCCCACGGGGTCCGGCGGTGGCTGCAACGAAACCAAAGAAGCCTGGTGGTGGGCTCAAGGAGAGCCATTTGGCAGCGTTAATCTGGTTAGCCCGCGAATGCGGCGCGAAGGTCGAAGGGGGCGAGATTGGGAGCCAGGAACTCACGTTCAAGCCTGCGCGGCGGAGGAGAGATGGGCCGTGGACTGCGAAAGGGGCCGCCGAGGACGCGGAGGTGATTGAGCTGAAGAATCCCGGCAGCGTCTGGCTCATCTGGCAGGCCATTTTCCCGTATATTGTCTTTTCGACGCTCCACACGCGCAGTCACAGAGGATCAGAAGCATCACCGGCCTTCCGCATCCGTCTAAAAGGTGGGACAAACGTGCCCAAGTCCCCATCCAGCGAATACATCCAGCAGGTGCTTCTCCCTTTGTGCGAGCGCATCGGGCTCCCCAGGGTCGAAGTCCAGGTCATTGGGCGGGGGTGGACGACGGGCGCTGCAGAAATCGGAGAGGTTGAGATTTCCGTGTTCCACCCCGAGAAGTCTGGTAAAGACAATGTGATGGCGAAGACAGAGGGCGGTGGTGCGGTGGTAAAACCAAAAGGCAAGCTTAGAGAAGACGAAGTCGACAAAGGTGACGACGTGGGTTTCGTCCTCGCCCCTTTCCAGATCGCCTCACCACGCCCCAGTACCATAACCTCCGTGTCAATGACCATCCTGGCCGGCTCCCCCAAGACGCATTCACTGGTTGAAACCCAGCTCGTCACGGCCCTGCGCGCCATTCTGACCTTCTCATCGCCATCTCTCCCCATCGAATTGCATCCTTCCTCCGCAGACTCCTCCGACGAACGACGCCTCTACATCCTCCTGGTCGCACACACCTCCGACGGCTACGCCTTGGGGAGAGACTACCTCGGGCCAGGCCGCAAGGTGACCAACGACACAGAACGGCAGCGCATGGTCGACGAGGCCGTCGGCACCGTTGTCCGCGCCTTCGCTAGGGAGTGTGAGCGTAGAAGCTGCGTGGATGAATTTGCAGAGGATCAGTTGGTTGTTTTCCAGGCTCTTGCGGACGGCGCGTCGAGCGTTGACGTGGGGGGAGATCGAGGCAAGAACAAGGAGGAGACGGGTAGTTTACATACGAGGACTGTGCGGTGGGTGTGTCGAGAAATGCTGGGGACGGTGTTTGACGGGCTGGGCGGATGTGAAGGGCGTGGAATGAAGGGGGAAGGAGGGTTCGATGAGGTCAAGCATAGCATAGAAGCGCTAAACATCGAGCAAGACTAAGACGAGGAAGAGAATCGTAGGAGGTGGTCCCAGTGCAGGCCTCCGGACTGGGTTGAAAGAATGATCAAGGTAGCCCTTGTTGTCTGGCCTTTTAGACCATGCAGCGTTTCCTATTCACATGGACAGCTTTTCTCGACCACCGTCCCACCAGTCAGTTCGCCTGCAAGGATCTTCCAGCAAGACCCGATGCCATAACACATAGCATTATCAAACTTTTCCCGCTGAAAATGGCCAACCAGACTTGACATCCGCCACAAATCAATTTGGAGCACCCACCCACCTGATGCTCTACACCTCGTGAAGTCATCGACTCCTCCAGAAACCGTTCCCGCCCACCGGTTGCAGCCGCAATCACTTATTAAAGATAATCTTAGTGCTTCTGTGATGTGGAAAGGGAGGCGATGGTTCTCTCTTTGCCGATTTGACAGCATGTTTCACACTGGCACGCTTCTGATGCCCTGTAAACCAGTGGCGTCTTCTCAGATTCTGACACTCGCGGCATTTGACCTCGGTCCTTGTCAGTTTGATCGATTTTTCTGTCTCCTAATCGTCCTGGCTGATCCAAAGACTATCCTGTTTTTCGTTGCCTTTGTTTGGTTTGTGTTGAGGATGACCTCGACTCGAATGCTCCTAACCTTGAGTACCGGCTCTACCGCGACCTCTTCCGCCCTTGGCCGCGCGCTCAGCAAGAAGTTTCTTCTTCAGCTCCTTATGCGCTTGGCGCGCAGCCTTGTCGTACTTGGCCTTCCCTAGAAGTGGAAGACCGGGAATCTTGCCCGTAGCATTGGGGTCTGGCTTCGGCTTGGTGGAGACTAGGTTTGACTTCGGGCCTCGAGCTTTGACAAGATTCTTGCGTTCTTTCTTGGGTTTCTTGACCTTCCAAGGTTTCAACTTGTTCCCGCCGGCTGGGCTCGAACCGGCTTCCGGTTTGGCCTCGCCTTCGTCGAATTGTCCAAATGAGATGAAGTCAGCTGAGAGTTCTTCTTTGGTGGCTGCCACGCCATCTTCGGCAGGAACATGAGCAGACTCTTCAGCCTCTTCTTGAACCTCGGCAGGCTTAGCGGCAGTGGTAGGCTCTTTGGCTGCTTTCTTTGCCTTCTTCAATGCTTTTTTCTCGGCCTTGGACATTTCCTTTGAAACGGTCTCTGCATGATTGTCTGTCACGTCGGTCGAAGTGCCTTGGGCTTCCCCCTCCGTCGGCAGATCGGCTGACGTGGAAGTCAAGGCAATATCGGCATCAGTCTCTTTGCCAGCCTTGCTTTTCTTTTCCTTCTTTTCCTTTTTTTCTTTCTTCTCCGTCTTGTCCTTCTTGTCTTTCTTGTCCTTTTTGGATTTTTTGCCTTCTTCCACTGCAGGTGTGTCTTTGGCCAAATCACTTGGGGCTTCAAGAGCTGGGCTAGGACCATTTTCCCCGTTCTCAATTTGTTTCAACTCAGCCTGGCCGGCTAGCTTCTGGCTCAACGCCGCTGAAGGCGCCGTCAGAGTGGACGATGGCATGTCTAGTCCGATGGCTTTCATCTTCTTTGCCTTCTTGTCCCGTTTGCGCTGCTCCTTGTCGATCTTTTTCTGCCACTGCTCTTCAGTCTTGGGTGCAGCCAGACGCTCCCGTTCCAGTTTCTCGTGAGGAATCTTCCGGTATTTTTTATCTGCCCCCTTCCAGACGTCAGGGTGCAGGGAGCCTGGCTCAGCATATTTGCATTTGAGGATGTGGCCAAACATCAGGTAGTTGTCCATTGTCTCTGCCACAATCTTCGCAACCTCGTTTGAAGCGAATTCGATAAAGGCAAAGTGTTTCGACGCCCCAGTGCGTTTGTTTCGTGACAAGCGTAGGCGGGTGATGTCGCCAAATTGAGAAAAGTAGGCTCTCATCTCTTTCTCATAAAAGCCGTGAGGAATGCGGCCGACATAGACAGTTCCAGGACCATCGTCGTTGCCTTTTGCTTTTTCTTTCTCCAACTTCTTCTGAGTCTTCTTGTATTTGGGCAAAGGAGGAGTTGTCCCAAAGTCAAATCCTTCATCTTGTTTGTCCTCTGTGTCACTGTCAAACCCAGCCAATAGAGCAGCCGCATTGTCATCGGCTTCGACCTCGCCAGCATCCTCCTGCTCATCCTCGCTTGCAAAGCCGCCAAACCCTTCTTCAAACTCATGGTCGACGGTGCGCTCTGCCTCGGCCTGCATCGAAGTAGAGACTGGTTTGTGCAAAGTTGCAGTCTCCAAAATCTCCGCCCCAGTATGTTCAATCACACCATTGACACCATCAGCAGTGAGTGTCTCCCCATTGTTGCTGGTTTTGTCCTTCTTGTTTTTCTTTGACTTTTTCTTCGCCGGCTCAGCGGCTTCCTCAGTACCATTTTGTCCCTCAACTTCATTTGCGGTATCTGCTGGCACCGGTGCCTCCCCATCGTCCATGAAGTCGGATGCGCGCTTGCGAGATTTCTTCGACTTGGTTACAGCAGCATTGTCGGATTGGAGAGTCTTTTGCTTGTGGTCAGATGGGACCTCGATTGACTCATTGTCCTTGAGCTCCGCCTTAGAGGCGTCACCTTTGTCGGTGCTCTTTGATTGCTTGCTCTTCTTCAGAGGCTGGTCAGTTGCACCGGACGACTCTACTCACGAGTCAGTTAGTGATCTTGTGCGCCTGATCTCGTTCGTTCTCACCTTTGCGTTTCTTCGTTCCCATGGCTGCTGCGATATTAGACACAATGAACCATCAACCTCGTGAACAACTATTATCGCCAGATTCTCCAGACTTCTGAGAAAATCAATCGCCAGTCGCCGGTCAAAATTTTCTCCAACTTTTGCTTGGCGTGGAGAGAGAAGCGACGCCGAAGACGGAAAGGGGAACTTATCCGAAGTCAATTCGTGAAGAGATGCTTCTGAGTTACACACTTGCATCTGTTGGTTGATGGTGTGGTGAAGATGCTACGCCTTTTACTCCGTCGATTCATCCGTCTTGCAACAAAGGCTGTGTGGATCCATTCTACATGATCGCGTGGAAACACCTTCATGTCAAGGCCATCAATCTCCGTCCACTGCGATTTTCACACTGAAGAGTTGATTACACAGCACTCATGGTGCTTTCATGGTTCAAACGCCTGAAGAGATGGGAACAAACGATCAAGTGTATAGGACATTTGACAATACTAACACGATTGTAAGGACCTACCGAGAACTAAACAACGGAAAGCAATAACCATCAGATGGCGGGTCTCTGGATCGGCCTGGAGACAACAAAGGGACAAATTCAAAACCCACGGACAGCAACGCTGGTCTTTCCCACTCTACGAACAGCTCTGTGCCATTCAGACGATGTGGTATCGGTGCATCCGCTCCTATATCATTCGCCAAAACGGCAAAAGCACCAAAGCTCCATTTCGCAAACTGGAAAGGCGGCATGCGTGTCTACACAGTCATCCATTCCACAAATAGTGGTTAGGTATTGACCATGGGAAATGTACCTGGGACAACTGACAGAGCCGTAAAGTTCCATGGGCATCTTTACCTCATCAGGGAGCACTGGTACCGCAGGTATGGGAAGGTCTGTTCACATTCGGTCATGAGCCATAATCAAATCGTGACCCAAGTGCCTCTAGACAAGTTTGAATTCTTATCGTCAGCCCAAAGACTATTTCAGTCTCGTTTCTTTTTAACAAAAACTGGATCACCTATTAGACGGCTCCATTCAACCTCCTGCCGTGAACCAAAGGCCTCCCTCGGCAAGGAGATTGTTAACTGGATCTGGAGCCGAGTTAGTCGTGGTTATGGACTACATGCAGGATTGCATAAAGCGAGCTTCGCTGTGATTCAACAATTCACAGGCATGTTCTGCACAATTATGAATAAGTGCCAGAGGATTTCGGGGAGATATGCAGTGCTTAAACAGGAGTACTTGTGCTTGTATACCGCAAAGAAGGAAGCGAGTCGCAGCCACGGCGAGTTCATCCTATCAAAGGCGACACAGATAGGTAATCATGAGACATTATTGACTCTCTTGGTATGCAACACATGGCGTGGCGGCCGTGGCGGACGGGAAATAAACGACTCCGCACGCCGGGTTTGGGTGGCTGACCACTTACTTGTGCTTTACCTTTAGGGAACTGCCTGAACCATCCCTATTGTAGGAAGTCCCTCAAGTCTTTGGTAAGCATACAAGGCCTTCTGAAACCCATTCGTCATTGAGAAGTTCATCGTCTCTCTCGTTGGCTGGAGCTCTAGGCCTGAGGGCGGCCGTATGATCTTACGAGACATTGCCACTTCCTCATCGCTCGGGAATGAGGTCAGGAGCAGATACACTGTCAATGCCTCGAGTCAAGGAGTGAGAACGAGGTGCGAGGTACTTGTAGGCATACACTGTACCTCGCAGGTAGGTTAAGACTGGTGGGTGCCGGTGGCGGGGTATTTGTATCACGAGCAGCCAAAAAACCTGCCTAACGATGACATCAATGGGCTGATTGGGTCGGTGACCGAGGATGGCAACAGGTCATCTGAGAACGTGGAATCGCGCTAATGGTTACATATGTACCTACCTGAACAAGTAGGTTTGATTTCAACGGCCTTCCAACGCCATTTCCACATGTCAATGTAAACAATCCATAAGGTTAACGATGATCAGGGATGTTTGAGTTCAAGTGCTTGGGATTATCAAGCTTCGAGCTTCAAATGAGTCAAGACTCTTTTCGCGCGCAGAGTCACGTTCAATGCACAGTCAAGCGACCGCATCCCCCACTGAACCACAGGAAACACTGGAGAGGGTTCAAGGTTGTTTCTAATGGGGAGAATGGGGCAAGGATATGTAGTGATACTTGTACCTGTATGGCTCTCGAATTGAGGGAAAACCATGCCAGTCAGTGGCACTCATCAAGGCTTGGCCCCTTTCTCTCTGTGGAGTCCATTTGGGTGCGCCCATTAATTATTATTTCGCCCCCTCCCCCAAACCAAAGCCGAACAATCCCGCCTTCTTATGCCTCGTACGTCATGCTTGAGTGTGCATGGACCAGTGTGGCCACTCAGTGTCCTGCTCGTTCAAAACACCGCAGGCTCTCGTAACAAAGTAAGTGTGTCACTGTGGACCGGCCGCTCTCCCGCCAGCCCATGACGAGGCCGCTTTACTACAGCATTACACAGTTTTAACCCTTTACCAGGAATCAACTGTGGCTCTCGGACCCAGACTGGACCATCTGGACCATCCCACTGACAAGCATCAGGCTGACCTAAACCAAATACTTTACTCCCGTTCGCGAACGATGGCCCCCCCACCTTGCCATTCGAGGGACTTGTAGGCGGATCAGCCGGGCCCGGTCTCTAGCACCCTTCGGCCTCAAGACCTCTTCCGAATGCACGAAGCTGCTTTGCCCGAGCGAGTGAAAAACCGTCCCTACGTACGACTCGTCCGAGGAAGATGGAGGGAAAGAGGGGGTTGGTCAAGGCTGATCGTGTCGGTGACTGTTGCTTATGTGGATTGGTAACCAGCCCTCAAGTCTCTTTTAATCACTCGTCCGGCCTCCCATCTCAAGCTTCTTATTACCAGATTTCCGACTTCCCAAGATCTTGTCCTCTTGTACTTGTTATATCTTCGATCAAGCACAGTACATTTGCCTTGGCAAAGCTCGCAAGATTGAGAACAAGCATCGACCGATAACAAGGAGAAGAATACTCAACATCAAGTATTGGAGCACGTGCCTCTCATAGAACCCTGTCACACCACCATATTTTCACACACCAGCCATGGCACCAGTAATATGGGGACTCGACTTGAAAGACATTCATTGGAAGAAGTTTGGGAGCGACTATATGTGGAAGAATAAGGACTATCATATGAGACGGACCAAGTTTATCATCTATCAGCTCGCCATGATATGCATGGTTGTATCCGAATCAATAGGCACCGCCGCCTTGACCGGTAAGCATTTTCAACTCTCTCACCTTGAGCGACGACATGTCTGACATCACGGGTGCTAGACTATGTGAAGCAACAGTCGAGGATTGAGAGTCTACACTCCTCAGCATCCGTTCACAACGACGACTTCGTCGGCATCGCCTCATACAATATCTTTTGCGGTATCGCCGTCGCCACCGTCTTTGGCGCCGGGTTCTTCTTCGATCTCTTCTTCCCCGAGCGCTTTGAACCCAGGAACATTCGATGGGCTTGGAGACTCAGTGCAGTCTTCGTGACGTTGTGCACCATTGCCGATGCCCTAGCCTTCACGGTCATCGTAGCAACCGGCAACTCGTGGATTTCGGCCGACTCACAAGATGCGGAAGAGATTGCTCGCGAGAGGATCAATCCTCCGTTGGTCTACCGACACAATGGTAGGGCCATCGCCTCTACCGTGTTCCTGTGGATTGGCCTATGTGCAACAGTGGCTAGGTGAGTGGCTTGAGGACTTTCCGTGAGAAGAAGACCCTAACAGATAGCAGTTGCATCATCATGTGGCTCTACTACCAGCATCTCGACACCTATGGTCCAAAGTCCCACACGGCTCGCATGCGGGATGAGGTGGACAAGACCATCTTGATCAATGAGCGTGCTCGTACTGGCATGAGCTCCCGAGAGCAGATGGCTTTCAACTCAAAGTATGCACTTGTGAATCCAAGCTAGGCAAAGAGCCCAATTCTAACATCCTCGGCAGCCCATACAAGCCTTGAACGCATTGTTCTTTCCATCCATGGATGGAACATTACAACTTCAACTACCTGAGTCGTGTTCGGAAGGATCTCTCCATCCTTCCCACAACTGAAGTATGGACAATGTCCACAAATTTTTGGAGGTGCCCCCTTCGTCAAGGGAGACAGTTATCGAGGCCCTACAGCGTCGAAAAAGACGTAACACTGTTTTCTATGTGGTGTCGACACACGACTATGTCGAGCGTTTCACAAATATGATGGCATTATGGGTGGAGGCGAGATCCTGGAGAGACGCAAGTTGATCGGCGTAAAAGAGGATTCAAGGCTCAAGCCTACTTGATTGGGGGCGGCACCCAGGCGGGGTGGAAAACTTGACTTACGGAAGCATCGGAACGTCCGGGAAGAGGACCAGGGTGGAGTCTGGTGATCAACTGGCTGGTTCAAGGAGCATGCTGGGCGCTCTTCCGACCGTGCACGTGCCCAATGTAGTTTTATAAGTGAACAGAAGCACCAGAAGCAAATAGTTGCAATGATGTGATGAAGATCTTCCGGCTGTTTCCCGGTCTCAGCCTTACGCCTTGTTCCCCCTCCTATCTATCCTAGCTGGCCTAGTGCAGCCTTGTGGGAATCACCTAATATCGAGGAGCATTCATTGCTCACTGACTGATTGTTAAACAGACTACACTCACTTTTCAAAAGATGGAATATCAGCCCAGATGCGTCGCTCGTACCCCCCCCCAACCAATGGCTTCTTACGTCGTTGCACAAAGAATCCCAAGCCGGGCCAAGAACCAAGCCTCAACCCCGCTCCCAACCTCCTGGAAGGTTAATATTGACTCTCATTTTCTTTTCACATTGTTTGCAAAGGACTCTTCATCTTTGTTCTGGGAAGCTAAGCCCTTGAATTATCAAAAGAGTTGACAAATTGAGGCAGGCACAGCTCACAGCTAAAGACTTTGAGACTTGTCCTCTCATCCCATCGGCTTGCAGTCACTCCTCACCGCATTTCGCCTTGACAGTATCTGAGATTCGATCATCATGAGCGCCGAAGCTTCTAGCGCCTCAAACACAGCTCACCAAGCTATTGGTTCGGCAGACCCGCCGTCGAAACCTCACAGCAACAACCATGACTCTCCCCACAGTGGCCCCGGAGGCCTCTTGACAATCCACCATGAAGGAGAATCTGGCCGGAGCGGGATCCACTTCTGGTCATTCCTGCGTATCTTATGGCGGTCATCATCCCAAGTCTCCATGGCTGTCAATATTCTGTGGCCTTTTGTCCCGTTTGCCATAATCCTTCACTATCTGCCCGGGCACCACTCGACCACGCTCGACAAATGGATCTTCGCGGCGAGCTACATCGGCATGGTCCCTGCAGCGAACCTCTTGGGGTTTGCGGGTCAAGAGCTTGCACGGAAAATGCCTAAAGTTGCGGGAATCTTGATTGAGACTGCGTTAGGGAGTATCGTGGAGATTGTGCTGTTCATCATCCTGATCGCCAAACATAAGAACCCTGAAGGATCTGGCGATGACAGCTCCGCAGAAGAGGGCAACCTCATACCCGTCATCCAGGCCGCGATCCTTGGCTCTATTCTGACCAACCTGCTCCTCTGTCTGGGTCTGTGTTTCTTCTTTGGCGGCATTCGTCGACAGACACAGACCTTCCACGCGGTCGTCTCCGAGGTGGGGTCTGGCCTGTTGCTTGTCGCCGGCTTTGGTCTCCTCATTCCGAGTGCATTCTACTCTGCTCTGAAAGGAGAGACGCGCCCGCACAGTGGTTTCACAGAACACAAGCTGCAATACGACGTGTTGAAGATGAGCCAAGCCACTAGTATCATCCTCATGATCGCGTTCGCCGTCTACATCGTCTTCAACGCACGTAGCCAACACGGCATCTTTGATGAAATCCTCGAGGCAGACGAGATAAACGACGAGGACCGGACCCACGACCTGGCCAAAAAGAAGCTGACATTTACCGAATGCGTCGTCGCCATAGTCGTGTCTCTGACGTTGATCACGCTCCTTGCCGTCTTTCTCGTGGAGCAAATCGAAACCATCGTGCACTCTGGTGTGCCTGATCAATTCCTCGGTCTCATTCTCCTTCCACTGGTCGAAAAGGCGGCTGAGCATCTGACTGCGGTCGACGAGGCATGGGATGGCCAGATGAATTTCGCCCTGTACCACTGTCTCGGACCGAGTATCCAGACGGCGCTGTTCAACGGGCCACTAGTGGTCCTTGTGGGCTGGGCGCTGGGGAAACCGATGGATCTCAACTTTGAGATCTTTATGATTGTCCTGCTCGTGCTGTCGATTTTGGTAGTTGGCAATTTCCTCAGGGATAAAGAAAGCAATTATCTCGAGGGCACTCTGTTGGTGGTAAGTTCTCGCTCCGTGACCTTGCCTAGTAGCTCTTTGGGTCGGCTCGGAAGATTTCTCATGCTGATTATGATGTTATTGGATAGATTGTGTATATCATCATCGCCATTGCGGCGTGGTACTATCCAGATCCGGACGTGGCGACCTCCAACGAATTCGACGATCCTTGGTCTGTCGCTGGCTTTCCGCCGACGGCAACCTCGATGGTTTCTTTGCAGTTTAAAACGCAGGGGACGGTGTTTTGATGGGGTTCTCTCTCCACTGAGGACCGGGCCACTAACCTGTCAAAACGTTCTCGTCGATGAAAACTCGCCACGAAGTGTCACGCCGTTTCTGCAGCAGCTCCAATACTCGAAATGCGATTGCACAGATACTATTGGAGAACGACCCTGCCTAGAAGTCAAACGAAATGACCGACACTCTACTCAACAGTGTAAATGGGTCCTACTGAACGATTCACCAACTCAGAAGCAAACATCGATGTCATGACCTAGAAATACGTTTTTCCTGCTTTATCAAGTCTGATGAAGCCTTCGACTTCTCCAATCCAACCTGGTTCTGCATGTCCTTCGCTATCAAATACTCTGCCTTCTTCGTTCACAGTTGAGTGCCTTTAATTCCTGCTCCTTTCCTTCCGATTACATCACACCTGTCTCTCGTCAGCCTCACCTCGTGGCTCCTGTGCATTCTGGTGCAAACGGGGATCGGTGCCTAGATAAGCTCTGGTGCTCTGAAGGACTCTTTGTCGGATTTGTTCGAGACGCATTGCGTCCGGGAGGCTTTCTGGCATATGTCGATCAACTGAAAGATTCGGTGGCATGGTCACATTCGGCATGGATTGCTGATGGTCTTGGCCTCCACTGAGGTTCTTCGGCATAACTCCTCCTCGAATCTCTCGTTGAATTTCGGCCATGCTCTTTCCACCAGAAAAGCTGCGACGCGGACTCTCTCCACTTATCTCCGACCTCGCAGCATTGAGCGACCCTCTTGCAGAGACAACGTCCTCAGGCCACGCGCAGCTGCCCTGGTGTCTGAGGCACCTGCCACACACAGGTTTCACGCCGTCGCAGCTCTTGCCAGACGCAGCACACTGCGTGCACCGTGACTCGTTCGCATTGCGTTTGCCCCTCGTCTGAGAACGACGATGCGGAAAAGTTGCGGTGTTGCGGTCACGGGCTGGAGTATGGTCAGCTTGCTAACATGGTAAATCGGAAGGTCATACTTACTTTGTCCAGTCGATCGTCTTTCATCCCGGCTATGTTCCTTGCCCTGGCGACGAAGAGAGCCCGAGAGAGGTGTCGTCACATCATCCGCGCTGTTCAAGTTTGGCATCGTGCACGATTTGCTTTTCTTGGTTGCGCCGTGTCGGAAGTAGCAGTGGCAAAAGTCGAAGGAATACTTGGATGCGTGAGGTCGCCCACCCTGTATCGATCTGGTGCAAGGCAGCTATGGGCCTTTGTATCTCGCAAAACGCTACTCGGTCGGACAGACAATGAAGAAACATATCTAGACCTTTGAGGATGAGAAAATACGCAAGTTGAAGAATTATCCTCCACCAGGAAGATCAAGGTGCTTTAATACACCGGCGACTCTGCCTACTGCCAAACCACAGACTCTCCATGTTGCGGTTGCAAGGACATGTTTTCTCCTCCAATGATTCCTGCTCTTTCCTGCAAACCTGCTGTCTACTGCAAGCCATCCTCAATTCTCGCAGAGCAAAGGGAAAACCGGCCTATCGCACGCGGAGAAAAGTGCATAGACGATGACGGTGAGGCATGAAAACACCCAATGACGAGGTGGTCTCTTTGTGAGAGACAGTTAATCCTTCGGGAATGCTGATGTTGTTACGCCCGGGAAGATTGAGTAGAAATGTTATGGTTCTAAAGTTGGAGGGGTTCTTAACCAATAAAACGCCAGATGGTACGCAGCCAATAGAAATGCAGCAGAAAGCAGCAAATGAGTGACGACAATATTTTCAAAATGGTCGCTAAAGATTTAGGGCTACACGGGGGGGCTGCAAATGTGTTGAAAAGATGTCGCAAAGTCGTAGCAAAGTCGTAGCAAAGTCGTAGCAAAGTCGTTGCAAAGTCGTTGCAAAGGTGTTGGAAAAATGGTGCCGGAATACATGCAGTGTGAAAACAAACATCCAATAGAAGCCATTGAAAACTCGCTACTTTGGTACCGTTTCTACGCAGCAGTAGGAAGCGTCCAGTAAAACGACCAGTAGAAAGGGGCCAGGTATGCATCCAATTACAGAGTTGCATTAACCATCCAATAGAGACGCGTTCAGGAAAACAACCAATCAGCATCAAGTACTTTGTAGAAGCCGGCGCAGGAGAGAAGAGTTGCAACCATCCAGCTAAAACCCCCCAAAACCAAATCGTCATTGGGCAGTTGAGCATGGCATTGCGAAGGAGAGGATCGGCAGGCTCTTTGGCTCTCCGGCTCTCTCGCTCTGGACCCGGGTACCGCCCTGATACGTACCGTCTGACCGTTTCATCCAATCCCAGACCATCGTCCGCGTCATTGCACCTTCGCCATTTACCTCGTAGGTTCGTATTGGTCCAAATCATCTCACAGACTGAGAATCGAGCTGACCACGGCAGCACCATTATCAGAACCGATAGGGAGTTCCATTGAATGTCCAAATGCTTCCAACGTATAAGAGCAGAGAACATTTTCCAGACTTTCGACTCCGCGAGAAAACCCTGTCAGGCAATCAGGCTGAGACTGAGCCTGGGGATCCGCTATTTTGTTCGACTTCAGTGGCGGCCAATCAAGAGTGAAGAAATCCAGGTCTTCACGGACGGTCGGATTTTGTTCTGCGGCGGGGAATGATTGGCTGATACTATTGGGTATGCGGGACAGGGTCAAAGTAGGAGGTGGTTCTTCTGCGCTCAGGTCTTCAACCACTGCACCTGCATCTGCATCTTTCAACACGCTGTTTGAAGATTGTCAGTTGACTCTTATATACTTCACTCCACGAAGTGTCATGGCCAAGCATTTGTGTCCCACTTCACTTAAGCCAACCATGTCAATTTCCCCTCTCCTCGTTCGCGACCCGGACTCAGCCTTGCTGGAGGTGGGTTGATCAAGGAAGATGTCTTGAGGCGTCAAATATGTCGTAGAGCAATGCTTGGACCCTTGGGTCTAGGATGCAGCCGCCTTATCATCACTCCTGCGGATGATTATCTCCCGCGCGGATGTGGCCGCTGGCTTGACAAGATGCTAACCAAGTGTATCTTTCTCTACGTGATACAGGGCTTGTAAAGGATTCCCAATCACTTGTTCAAGTCAATCATACAACTTGTTCTGGAAAATCCACTGTAGATCCTTCAACAGGCAGCCAGCACCAACCACCCTCGTTATCATCACCTTTGACCCTGTAGCGGCTGTGTCCCCAGACCGCGAATGTCCGCCGCGAGGGTGAATATCGGATATACCCTCTCTCACAACTCCTCATATTGGAGGGTGTGCATATATTCGTACAAGCCCAGAACAAGCAACTCAGACAATACTCAATAACGACAAGATCACAGCCTCAGCCAAGAAACAAAATCACAATGTCTACCACCGTGACGACGAGTTCACAAGTGGCACCGGAGTATGAATACTTCTTCCGCGATGGGACGATGAACAATCGGCGAAAGGTCCTCCGTGGCGAAGAGGCTGTCGAAACATTTGACGAGATTCCGCTGGTCGACGTTGGCCGCATCTTCAGTGACAAGTACGAAGAGCGTCTGCTCGCAGCCAAGGAGATTGCCAACGTGTGCAAGACCGTCGGCTTCATGTATATCAAAAACCACGGGATACCACAAGAACTGATTGACAAGGTGTTTGAACTTTCCCGCCAGTACCACGCCCAGCCTCTTGCCGTGAAGAAGGAGCAGGACGTATACAAGTCACCTACATTGCGGGGATATGAGATTCACTACACCAAGACCCCAGATGGCGAAGCAGGTGAGATGTCTCGCCCGCAGATCCCCCCTTCCGATGAGGTGAATATATCCAATAACGTTCTCTGCAGTCAAGAAGGGATCGTTTCTCTACAGTTACGAACCTGAAAACGACCCACAGCCGCCGTCCCTGACCCCAGAACAGCGCGACCAATGCATTGGAATCCACAACCAGTGGCCGGCACAGCTTCCCGAGTTCAAGACCACACTGCTACAATACCAGGCTGCACTGATCTCACTCGCCCGTGCGTTGTTGCGGACATTTGCCCTGGGACTTGGTGCGGATGAGAATTATTTCGACTCGATCGTCACGGCACCCTTTGTGTCCATCATTCTGCAATACTATCCGCCCAGAGCACCCGGTTCGACAGACCTGGATGGTCTCGGTGCACACAGCGATTTTGAAAGTATGAGATGTTTTCAACAACTTGCTTCTCCAGCGTCTAGACACACTGCAGACACTGACAATCCACAGCATTTACCATCCTGAACCAAGACATGGTAGGCGGCCTTGAGATCCTCAACAAGAACGGGATCTATGTCCCAGCAAAGCCCATTCGTGGCACCTTTGTTGTCAACGTAGGGGACTTTCTGCAGAGAATCTCCAACGACACATTCGTGTCCACTGTCCACCGTGTCCGCAACGCTTCGGGGGTTGAACGCTACTCGATTCCCTTCTTCTTCAGCTTCAACATGGACGCTTCAGTTCCGGTAAGTGAGAGTTACATGGTCATTGCACGATGTTGTACGTTGATGAAATCACAGGTCATGCCGGCTTGTACGTCGGAGAGTAACCCGGCCAAATACGAGCCAAGGAATCTGCATGAGGTATGTTTCCCAAAGTGACAAGATGACGGGACTTGGTAACTTACAATGACAGTACACGGCATTGAGGCGTAAACGGCAGAGGGAACAGCACGAAAAGGGTATCCACGACACTCTTGGTCAGTATTTGACGCGATCCAGTCACGCGAGACGAGGCTGACTTTTTTAGTTATTGAGATGTAGCGACATGGGCGATTCGCAGTCGTCGTGGTTCAATCGCAGTCCACGGTTGACAAGTTGCGCAAGACCAGATCCAGGAGATTAGAAGGACAATAGACCACCAGAAGGAGATTCACATTGTGAGATGGTGCAGAGTTTTAGAGAGCAGCGACATTCATGGCGGGGGTGTCAGTAGAACAAGGTCGGCCATCGAACCCGGGTCTTGACGGATGAAATACTTCAAAGTCGAAATACCTACCTCCAAGAAGCTCAAAGACTAACTTACGGCGAGATATCAGTCCCCATCATGAATTCACAAATACCAAGAGTCTATGCAGATAGAAACCCTCTCAAAGAGATCAACAGCAGAGATAGGTGACGCATGTGAAATCAATTGACCACAAAAACAACAAGACGCTCCAAATTTCGTCCGTTTGTGACTCAGCAATTCCTTGTGATTTGTACAATGTGTCCTCGGTATCGTACAACTAGGTAAGAGAATCCACCTGCGCTCCCCAAGGGATTCAGGGATTCGACATTGAACTGCACGGGTGTCAAGTACCGATTGGCCACTCTGTTAGCCACTCTTTCTAGGCGTCAACGGCCTACTCCGTGCTGGAACGCAGATCACCTCCACCATGAGAATATCATTGATCAGTCAAACGAGGTGAGGAGAGAAAGGCCGTAGGGAAAGTCGACGGATATGTGGCCGATTGATATATTTATCTATCTACCTACCTACCTATCCATATATTGAGTGACTGCAGACGGACTAACATACGGACGGTGTATTGAGGACACGAGCGGCCTTGTTTTGACTACCACCTCGTACCTCGTACGTTCTCAAAACTTCGTCGGTATAAGCATCTCCTTCGTGGTGAACTGCATGTTTTAGGGTTTGACCACAGGTCTAGTCGATACAACACTTCGTCTCTGCTAGTACAGCAGATTGCAAAAAGGTGAAAAAGTGACAACTCAAGATGCACCTCGCCAGAGTCCTCTCGGTCATTTCCCTCTTGACCACCTCCTACGCACAGAGCAGCGCGGATGGCTTCCTCGAGCAGGCTGTCAAGTTGATGGAAGAGAGTCCGTTGTTGGACACGCACATTGATCTGCCGCAGATTATCAGGAGTTTGAGTAAGTGGATGGATTTATTCCCTCTTCGCGTTCAATTCAAGTTTCTTCTTGTTGTCCACTGTTGTTGTGAGAATACACTGGTCTTTTAAAGACAGCCGTACTGACATATACCTACCTACCTGCCTACCTTTGCAGATCGACGACCACTCGATGCCATCCCCCAACTCAACGGCTCGTTCCCAGGCCACGTCGACATCCCCCGGATGCGGCAGGGCCGACTCGGCGGAGCCTTCTGGACGGTGTGGGCGCCGTGCTACGACGTGACGGGGGAAGACCCGGGGAGCGACTTCAACACCCCGACGAACCACCTGCGTGACGCGATGGAGATGCTCGACATCATCCAGAACATGATCGCCCGACACCCGGCCGATCTGCAGTACGCGCGGTCGACGGCCGAGGTGTGGGACGCGTTCCGCGCCGGCAAGATCGCCTCGCTCATCGGCATGGAAGGCACCCACGTGCTGGGCAACTCGCTGGGAGCGTTGCGCATCTTTGCCCAGCTGGGCGTCCGCTACTTGACCCTGACACATACCTGCCACAGCGCGTTCGCGTCGTCGGCCGGCCCGGGCACGCCCATCGACCCGGTCCACGAGGGCAATGCCCTGTCGCCGCTGGGCGAGGAGCTCGTGCGCGAACTGAACCGCGTGGGCATCCTGGTCGACCTGGCGCACACGTCGGACGCGACCATGAGACAAGTGATCGCCCTGTCCGAGGCGCCGGTGGTGTGGACGCACGCGGGCGCGCGCGCCCTGTGGGACCACCCGCGCAACGTCCCCGACGACATCCTGCGCCTGATCGGCGACGGACCGGGCCAAAAGGACGGGGTGATCCAGTCCATCTTCTTCCCGCCGTTCATCGGGCCAAACCCGGGCGCCAACGTCTCCCGCGTCGCCGACCACATTGAGCACATCGCCGGCATCGTCGGGCGGAACCGCGTGGGGATCGCCTCCGACTTTGACGGCATGTACATCTCGGTCGACGGCCTGGAGGACGCCAGCAAGTACCCCAACATCGTAAGTCCCTTTGCCCCCTTTTCAAAAATTTCAAGATTATTACTCTCGGTATCTGCTCACACACATACGTGGCAAACAGGTCGCAGAGCTTCTCTCCCGAGGATGGACAGCAGAGGAGATGAAGGGCGTCATGGGCGGGAATCTGATGCGGATCATGGATAAAGTGGACGAAGTCAGCGAGAAGATGCGGGATCAGTTGCCCTCCTCGGCCATTTGGGAGAAGAGACAGGACCTGCCCGCGACGAAATGGGGCGGTGGGGGCATTCAGACGTACTGGCCGAGAGATGTCAAGGAGGCGGTGGAGAGGATGACGGTGCGGCATGATGAGTTGTGAAGACAGACACACACACACACATTGGAGACAGTGTGACAGGGGAAGTGGGAGATAAGGGGGAGAGATGCAGACAGGCAGAGACGCTATCATGCTCGTCGGTATACATGTCCCTACTCTAACGATGGGTGACAAGAACGAAGTTGCTGACAGTGTCAAGTCGATCAAACGAGAAAAGGCCGGGTTAGTAAATAGTCCGCGATGGCACTACACTACGAAACATATGGAATATGGAATATCGGGCCACGATATGGGGGGGAAAAAAAGGGGGGGGCCAGGGTAATGCGAATGGCTACCTACATAGATACCTTAGTATTTCATTCCTTCGTTGTCCTGTCAAAAGAGAAATCTCGACGGCTTTCTGGTCACATCTATCTACCATCTCCCATCTCCATCTCCACCCTCGACTCATCCTTGAGCACATCTCGACACGTCTCTGCGCGCGCGCGCGCATCATGTCTCGTCTCCACTCCACACCACTGAAATCCATTCCTTTATCCAATCCACCTCACCCGAAACCACTCACCACATCCCCGAAATAAGTGTGAGAGAAAAAAATTAAATCACTGAATGGCCGAAAACTTTGTCGGGACCAAGAAACTGCTGGCGACTTTGGCGTTGATGGCGCCGTCCTTTTCGCTGTTGGCCCGGGCCTCGATCCACTCGGGGTCGTTGAAGAAGGCGTTCCATTTCTGTTCGCGCTCGGCCAGCGACTCCCAGGCCAGCATGTACGTGAGGTCGTTGGCGTCGGGGCCGACGAGGGTTGTCCTGTCGGCAAGAATCAGTTTCACAATTGTCAGGGACACCAAGAGCCCTCGGTTGAAGGGAACCAGAGCTAGAGCCGGGTCATTGGAAGGGGGAAGGGGAGGGACTTACCAGAAACCCAATTGCCGGATGCCGTGCTTCTCCCAGATCCTGAGCGTGTGGTTCTCGAACCGCGCCAGCAGGTTGGGCAACCGGCCAGGAATGGTGGTGTAGACACGGAGTTCGTAGATCATTTTTGCCCACTACCACTGATTTCGTCCTCGACAAGTATTCGACTTATAAATGATGGATGGAGTGAGGTTTGTAGCGAGGACTCGGGACTCTGTCGGCCAATCTCTTCTTTTCTTCTCGAATAGATCGTAATTGTTTAAGCAAGATAATATACCTGTAACAAGTATCAGACAAGACCTGTCCTCACTCACCTCCATTGAACTCGCTTTTCGTGATATTAATACTTTGCCGTCGGTACATATCCCATGCGGGGTAACAAATGAGTCTGACAGAGGACGAGGGCCGCACTGCCGGCCGACTGGGCGCAGCGCAACGACGCAAGGTGCGGGGATGATGAGGACCCATGTTTACCTTTTTCTAGGTTTCTAGGTACGAGAATGTCGGTTGGTAGATACATGGATGGAGAAAGGGGTGTTTTACTCCAAGTCTTTGATTCGATGTGAGCGACAGGGAGAGCAACTCCTCTGCTCCACATCGAGAAGACCCCGCTCGATGGGCATTTGGGATTGGGATGTGATGTGGATAGAAAGAAAAAACACGCTGTTCAAGGTATTTGGTAGCCGAGGATCTGAAAACATCGCGCAGCGGACGCGCCAGACAAGCTTCAACGGGCGAAGACGACGCGGGTTAGCGAGTGGAGAGATATGAGTTGTTCCACGTACCTGGGTATATGGTTTGTGCCTGGATCCTCAGTACCCCGGATCCCCTTTATCGAAGCGTTATTTCTCTCCGGGGCTGTCTTTGAGGGATTGGTCGATTTCAGCATAATTGGTGCCCTGGTCTCCCGCAAAGGGGTTCTTGGACGCAAAGAAAAACTCGATCGGCGACTGGTTGCTGCTGTGCACCTCCCAGAGACCAAAGAGACATAATCCTATTCGAGTCAATGCTACGTGGCACGTTGGGTTACTGTTAGGGCGCGAAGACACTTTCGAACTTGCGCCGCACTTGGCCCAGTGCAGCAATGCCTTATTTGTTCGTTTGTCTCTTCGACTGTTTCTTTCCTGCAGAAGCACCATCCGTCAATGGCACACCTACTCATTGGACCTCCCTCCTTTCGCTGGCCGGCAGCATGGGGCGCCCTGACGCGCCTTGCCGATTACTTTCCCCCTCCCAAAATCTGCCTCGCTGCCAGAATTCTGCCCTCCCCACGATTCTCCCTTTTGGTTTCTTGCAGATTTTGCCCTCGTCTTTTCCAGGTATTGGACGGAAAATCCGACATGTTGTGGGGGTCAAAATGGCTCAGCCTTATTGTCGCCATTCTTGCTTGATTAAACAGTATTCGGTCGCACGAGTCATATTCTGCTAGCTGCCCACCTTCATTTTCCTTCCGTTCGTCGATTCTGCCATACCATGGAACCTCGGCTTGAAAAACTACCCAAGACGCCACCGCGGCGTGAGGTCTTAGTCCTGGAGAGAGAAAAAGAACAAAGGATTCAGCCAAAACCTCGGCCTTATATACCGCGCGAGCTGCTCTACCACGCCATTTTCGACCATGAAGACGACGGTGCTTCTCCCCCCTTGACCGAAGACGACGATTGGGAGCTCTCTGCATTTGAAACTGAGAATCCTAATGGCAACGGCAAAGACCATGATACTATCCACGATGCCTCTACCGACGACGACCTTACTGATGATGAAAGCGATAAACCTGCCAACAATGACGCTACTCGCAGTAGCCCTGTCGAAGTTGACTGCGCTGAACCTCTCAATAACAACACTCTTCGTAATAACTCTACCGAGAGTGAATCCACCGACAAGGACCCTACCGACAAAGACCCTACCGACAAAGACCCTACCGACAAGGACCCTACCGACAAAGACCCTACCGACAAGGACCCTACCGACAAGGACCCTACCGACAATGAAACTACCGACAAAGACCCTACCGACAAGGACCCTACCGACAATGAAACTACCGACAAGGACCCTACCGACAAGGACCCTACCGACAAGGACCCTACCGACAAGGACCC